CATACATACATACATACATACATACATACATACATACATACATACGTACGTACGTACGAACATACATACATACATACATACATGCATACATGCATACATGCATACATACATACATACTACAAGACCTCAAAACATTGTGTGTGCAATTTTACTCTATGTTTGTCAGTGTTTTGCTTCATCATGCTTTATTAATAATTAATGACCTTGCAATCAAAACAATATTTATCAGCAAAATGTTCTTAAATGTGTTAATATTCTGTAAATTTATATTCTTTAGTCACTGGAAAAGCTATTTCTTGTATTCTATATTTCATGTGTATTATCTCAGTTAATTTAGGAGAGTGAGTTACAGAAAACCCTGCTCACTGTTCTATGATGTGTTTAACCATGTTTACGTTATTACAGGAGAACGCCAAAAACGATGAGATCCTGAGATCCTTGAAGTATGTCCGCCCAGGTGATGGCTTTGAACCAAAGTTCCCGCTGTTTGAAAAGCTGGATGTGAATGGAGAGGATGCCCATCCATTGTTTGTGTATCTGAAAGAAAAACTCCCAGTCCCCTGCGACGATACTACGGCTCTCATGACTGATCCGAAGTTCATCATCTGGAGTCCTGTGTGCAGGAGTGACATTTCCTGGAACTTTGAGAAGTTCTTGATCACTGCTGAAGGAGAGCCTTACAAGCGTTACAGCAGGCATTTCCTCACTATTGACATCGAGGCAGATATTAAAGTGCTACTAAATAGAATTAAGTAAAATGTGCTTTACAACACTGTGGCTGGCTGTAAAAGATGTTGCTGGGACCACCCTGCCCTAGCGAAACTTATCAGTAGACGCAGACATTAGGGGCATTTTATCTTTCTTTTCCAGCTTACAGCTAAAGTAAACTGCCTCATTCCAAAGATTGTGCTATTTTCAGTGGTGTACACTTGGGGTTTCAACCTGTTTACTTAATGAAGATGCTCCTGTAAACCATTTTGTGTAAGGAGTTTCCGATGAAGATGTAAATGTGTGTCTCTACTACTATCTATACCACAATTTTAATATTCAAAGAGGAAAAAAAATAAAAGCTTTTGCTCTGAACCAAATTAATTTGTTTATTTAAAATCCATACCAAGCACACTCATTGGGCCTCATGCAAGAACATGTTCGTATTCTTATCCTAAATTTCTCTTACTTTTGTTCGTACAAAGGGTTCGTACGAACATGCCACGTCAGATTCAACAAACTTCTATCTTCAGGAAAAGTGTGTAAATGAACTGCGTAAATTCCACCTGTTCRTATCCAGCTGCTCGTGCACGCGAGAGGAGATTAGCATAATTACCACCCCAAATACACCATATAAGGCTATGTTTCCTGCCTCAGACAAGGAATTGTCCATTCATGAAAATTACAGCGAAAATTAAAAAGAACTTTACGAGTTCAGAGATTGAAGTCCRTCTGTCAGAGATCCAGAAAAGAAAATCTGTCATTTTTAGCAGGTCAGCTGTGGAATAAAAAGAGCTGCTAAAAGTATAAACAACTGTGTTAAATCATTTTCATTTATTCAGAAGCTACAGCGCTGCGCACCCCACCCCCGCGCGGTCTCAGGTGGTCTCAGTTGCGGTTCTGAAATAAGCATTTTAAAATGTTTTCAAAAATATGTCTGGCACTTTGGAGAAAATCCAGGAGTCGCTGGAGGGATTATATATCCCTCTGGTCTGGGAACGTCTCGGAGTCCCCCAGGACGAGCTGGAAGGTGTCGCTGGGGAGAGGGAAGTCTGGGTCTCTGCTGCTGCCCCCGCGACCCGATCCCGGATAAGCTGGCCGGACGGACAATTTGTGTTGTTAGTCTAAATTATTACATTTAAAATTTTAACTAATTCAAGCAGAATAGCCTATTGTCAACATAATTATGGAGTGTGATTTATTTTCAACTCAAAATATCTTCAAACTAACGAAATATAAAGTTATTAGGGGGGAAAACCCGTCTGATAACAGCAAACTGACTGCTCGTAAAATATACGACAGGTCTGGACCACTCATGAATTTTGTTTGTATCTGAAAAAAAATCTTAAATACAAAAACATTGGTGAATGCCACRAATTCTCCTAAATCACTCGTACGCACAACTTAACAAATCTGTGCGTACGAACAGTTCATGCATGAGGCCCATTGTGACTAAAAGATTTAAACTTGTTTCTTAAATACACAATCCCCTATAACAACTAAAGACACACATAATTCAGAATGCAATTCTGCCTTGTGGGCTAAACAGATAAATTACTATATAATTTGTTATCAACACAGTTTTAGAGTGACCATTAATGGTGCATTACAGCAGTAAACATTCTACACTTTTAGTCTAAAGCAGTGTTTCCCAAAGTTGGGGTCAGGACCCAAAKTGGGGTCCCGAAAYATCAAGGTGGGGTCCTGAAAAGATTTTAGGAATTAATTACATTTTTGCCTTAGTTGTTACAAACGAGTGAGGTTAGTGTATTTAAAATGGGTAAATTTAGTATAAAAATATTGTTACTATGCCCATGTTTTCTTGACCTGATGTTTATCATCCAAAAATAGCTGGGGGCACAGGTCTCTGCTACTGTTATTTTGTGGGTCAAAAGCTGAAAAGCTTGGGAACCACTGCACTTTGGTTCCCAAAGTTGGGCTTGGGACCCAATTATGGGTCATGAAGCACCTTGAATAACCTCCAGAAATCAATTTAAAGGGTAATAAAATAATTGCTGATGTAATAGTTTTCCTATAACTATTACAAAAACACAAAATAAGTATAAATAAGTATTTATATTTGTGTACAAGCTGTTTAGATTGTCAAAAAGCCTGTGTTTTTAGAGTTATTGACAAAGTTCGTGTCCTCAGAGCAGTAATATTTGGGGTCACAGGTTTTTGCCATGGATATTTTGTGGGTCAGAAGATGAAAAGTTTGGGAACCACTGGTCATAAGTGCTTTTGATGTGTTTCTGTTTAAATATTTACATAAATTTGACCTGCAAATTGCTGGCATTGAGTCACTTGAAGTTCATAGAAAATGTCCATCTTTTTTTTAAGTAAATGCACAAAGTACTGTCCTAATATGTATGAAGAAATTCATTTGTTTAATAAAACATATTTAAACGCATTTATTTTTCTTTATGTTTCCTCCTTTCTATGCTTATCCAAACTACTAAAATACTAAAACCAGATTCCATACTATGTAAAAACAGCTTCGTGTTTACGTGCTGACACCCCGGTTGACACCCGTGTTTTACGGACGCTTCCTGTCCTGAAGGCTACACACCAAACTGCTAACATGGCTGGCCAGGAAGAYCCCGTGCAAAGAGAGATTCACCAAGACTGGGCGAATCGAGAATACATAGAAGTAATAACAAGCAGCATCAAAAAGATCGCCGACTTCCTCAACTCATTTGGTAAGCCTTTTAACCAGCACGGTGTCGATCACTGTTATGTGTGTTAAAAAATAAMTAAAGAAAGAAAAATCGAGCTAGCAAGATGAGCTAGCTCGCTATCCGGTTGCTGCTAACAGATGTTGATGCTTTTAAATGGCCACTCCCAGCTAGCATTTAGCTCGGATGTTAGCATCAAGCTAATTTGTTTTAATATTAGTTGTTCAGCGAGTTGAATTAGGACAGACCTCGACAGCTAACTACTACCTGCCTATTACTGACACTGTTGTTAACACTGTAGCTCATGTTTAGGAATGGACACTCCCAGCTAGCGCGGTAGCACCAAGCTAATTGGTTTGTTATTTATCGAGTGGAATTAATATATATTGACAGCTAGCCCTATTAGCCTGTTCTGCTCTGCAAATGAATCAGGATCCGCTTGACTAAAATATTCTCACAGCTCTTATTGAGAAGGTGTTGCTCACTATAAAAACGTCAACCTCTAACATGTCTAATTTCACTCACACAAACAGATATGTCTTGTCGATCTCGTCTGGCTACTCTCAACGAGAAGTTGACAGCTTTGGAGAGGAGGATTGAATATATAGAGGCCAGAGTAAGTACAAATATAGTGTATTTGTAGTACTGGTGTAACATATTCTGTTTGTCTAGATCCAGCTGATTTAACCATGAAAATATTATGTGTCATTTCAGGTGACGAAAGGAGAAACCTTGACCTAGAAGTCATCATATAACCACTTCCTCACTCCACCCTAAATTTTTTGGACTAAATGTGCTGGATTTTGCCATCCTTTTTTGGGATCATGTGGACCATTTTTATATTGTGTAGCTGAGTTTTGTGTTGTTTTATCTCATGACTCACTTGTATAGAAAATATGGATCTGTTTTTGTATTGGTGACACAAGCGTAATCATTTATTCTAAAATTAAACTCCTAAAGTATTGTTTTCAAAAGATAATCCGCAGTGAAGTAATGCATCTGTTGTCAGCAGTACACAGTGTCCAAACCAAATCAAAGAGAAAAGACAACTGGGAACATTTTTGTGTGCCAACTTGAACAAGTAATTGTGTAGTCACCTTTATGGAAGATTTGCCTGTACAAAAACATGTTTGTTAGTGATGTTTCAGAATATAAATACTGTAATAAATGGTAAAGAGTTGTCTTGTTTCACCTTTGTGATTTTTTATGTATGTTGCCTTTGAATGTAATTACACGGTTAAGTGGAATACATCGAGGACACACTATTACATCTAATGCAGCTAAAAATAATAAAGAAAAACCCTGCCAAATATTAAGTAGGATTTATTATGGGACTTTTATTTCAAATTAAATATTTTAATTAAATAAATTAGAAATTGCATAAAGGGTGTTAAGGGTCAATACTTTGTATTTCAAACTATTATTAAACAGGAAATAGCATTACTTGTAAGTCTCAGAGGAAAGTGTACTTCCTCAGTTTTATGAAGAATAAAAGAGAAGCGCTAATAATTTATGTATGAATGAATTATGTACATTTTCTGGTTTTTTTTAACAATTGTATACAACTAAAATGGCGACAAATCTTGTAGACAKTCCTTTTCCCTCAGTTCTGACTTGCAGGATTCACTTCAAGAGCTTCCGCCGATTCACAGCTTCGTGCTAACTTGCGAATGACTAAAGTAACATTGGAMAAATACACTATAACCATGGTGTAAATTATCTGGCTCTACATTACATTACCCGAAACACGAACAAGGCTGCAGACATAGCTGCCTGTAAGACAAACTTAGGAAATAAAAACCTGCAGCGCCACATCCTGCCCCAATGCAYCCTGGGATAAAGAAGGTTTCATCGCTGTCGAGCGATTAGTCCTTGAAAGTGAGCTGAGTTGTATATCACTTACAATTTATCGAACAGCCTTAAATAGGTTTTTGTTGGCAATAACATTGTCAGCAAACCTTTATCGGTGAGTTTTTGTACAGCTGAATTTGAAACCAACATGTCACCGTTCGTTTGTTTGGCGTCGCAATGTTTTCTATTCCTCAGTCTGTTATGTAATTCCTGAGTCGTCCATCTTGTCGTGTTTTACCTTCATTTAGCAGTGTGCGTTCAGAAAACAGCCGTCTCCCAAGAGAATGCTTCCGCACTAAAATTGTCTATACTTAAAACGGAGAAAAGTGTAATTAGACATTATTTGTGTTTTTTATTTCTTGCAGGTTTTGGGTCCATAAAGAAAATGGGAACTGATAAAAGGTGAGTTGAATTGTCAATAGGTTGTGTGTTAATATTTGCAATGCAAGAACCCGACAAGTCTTATTTAAACCTTTGTTTAAACAAGCCATATTCTTAATCATCGCTTATTCAAGAAGTAAATGCAGTTTTATTATTAAGCAGTCTAATTGCGTTTATTTGTGATTATTGCCAGTCATGAGTGATTTGATGCCTGGTTTACGCTGAACAGAAAAATCATGTTCTCGTTTTATTTTAAGTTAGTCTGTTAAGTGCCTGGATATCTAATAAAATTCAAACACATAACCATACATAAAGCCCTATGTGATAATACTTCTCTAATTCTTTAATTGTCACATTGTTGTGGAAGTAAAAATCCAGTTTTTTAAGTGTTGAGTATTACTTTTAAGTTTTGACTAATACCTGACTCTTGTGTAATGCATTTACACATTTTTAACTGTAAATAAACACAGGCTTTTGTCAGTCATTTCAGCTTTTAAAATTATAAACATTTCACAAGGTTTTCTTTCCTAGGATCTCATTAATTTTTTTTTATTTATTTATTTTTCGCATCAATAAATTGCTTGAAGGAAGCATTGACACACAAGCATTGAAGTGTATTTTTAAAATAACTGCTTAAAGCTTTGTTGTATTGATGTCTGCATTTTGGGGCCTGCTTGAACAGGATCAGTCGGACCGAACGCAGTGGTAGATATGGATCTGAGCAGGCCCGTGATGAGTCGGACTGGCGAGACAGACGCGATCGGGACCAAGAGCGGGAGCACGGCAGCCGACGCTGGAGTGATGAGAGGCGTGATCGTTATGAAGGAGATCGCAGAAGCTCTCGAGACAGTCCAGAGGTACCTAACTTAATTATTCAGAACTTTAGATGGGAATTTGTTGTTTGATATTAATGTTTTGTATGTGGTTTTTTTTTTTAAAGCAGAGAGAGAGGAAAAGGAGGAACAGTGACAGATCAGAAGATGGTTATCACTCAGATGGAGACTATGGAGACCATGATTATAGAAGGGATCCAGGGAATGATAAGAAGAGTAAGACCATCATGCTTGGGGGTTTATCTCCTCAAACTTCTGAGGAAGATGTAAGTTTTTCTTTTTTTCACACACATTTAGTTACGTTAAGTGTAGTATGAAATGTATGCAATTGTAAAACTGTAATGTTTTATTGTCTGTATGTTGTTTAGATTCGTTTCGTCATCGATCAACTAGAGGGACCCCAGCCAGCAGATGTCAGACTGATGAAAAAGAGAACAGGTGAGAACCAAGTGTAAGATGGACCTGAAACTCCCTCCCCCAAGTCTTTGACCATAGGGCAAATCTGCTTCCATTCAGACCCATTTTCCCATAGCAGATAGGAGAGAATTATATCAAATCAGTTGAAAACCTGTGTAAGCATTTTTATGCAAGACCTGTCTTTCCAGTACATTGTGGATCTCTTGAAGGAAGGTAAGTAAGAACAGCAGTAATAGATTTTGAAAATTCACTTGACTGAAACACTTTGTGTATAAGTGTGGTATTCATCAGGATTTCTTACTATAGTAAATCTCTTAAGGAGTGGCCTATTGTGTACCAAACTTGGCCTGGGTCGTGAAGCAGTTTATGGAAGAGTTTGAATACTATGCCCATGGACTCTTAACTAACACACCTCCCGTCTATATTTGAATGCTGTCTCTAGGTATAAGCCGTGGTTTCGCCTTCGTGGACTTTTATCACTTGCAAGATGCTACCAGATGGATGGAGACCAATCAGGTTGCTTCACAATCGCCAAGTCTAGTTTTAATCTTGGGGATCTGGAGAAATGACCCTAAAGGCAACCAGAATGTATTCAAAATGTAGTGTGGAAACTGTTAAAAAAAATAACTCACAGAATGAATACCACACAGAAAGAAAATGAGATGTCTTTGACTTTAAACTATTTTAACAAATTCAGAATATTGAATTCTATTTGTATTTATTTAAAAAATAGCAAGTTTTAGTGATTTTTGCAAAGTCAGTTTTGTAGACTGTTAAAAATGCTTTTTTTTTATCCTTGCAATGACAATTTCAAAGTCCAGATTAGCTTCTTAGCCTAAAAAAACTAACTCTCCTATAGATAGGGATTTTTTTTCTCTTTTCTTTGTTGTGGAAAGCCCTTACAAGTCTTTTTCTTTTTTTAAACCAGTAAAAAAAAATGTCTTAATATCACAATATACACTCTGCTCCAGCCTAGTCTGGGCACTCGGGTCCCAAACACTTAAAGAATTCTCTTTACATCCAGCTCATTTACACACCTTGTGGCTGTCTTTAACTCAGAGGCTGTCTGTTGGGGGTCCCTCTCCCCGTGCTCTCCCTTCCAACACTGCTTGTTCCAATTAATTAGMTCATTTCCCGCCACAAACTTTTGAGTGATTTTTCTTTTCCTTTTTCAGAAGCGTCTGGTCATCCAAGGCAAACTCGTGGACATGCACTACAGTCATCCTAGAAACAAGTATGAAGACTGGCTCTGCAACACCGTAAGTGAATGTGTTGGTTTTGTGTTTGTATTGTCCGAATAATTATTCTCCAGAACACTGTCTTGCTTTGTGGCACACATTTATAATTATATTACTGGTAAAGTTTTAGTTGTGTCCCGGGTTGGTATGGTATGCTGCATCAAATAAGACTGTAGTCTTCGACAGCACTGTTTCAGGGCTTTAGTAGATGTATAATAAAAATGATGTGAACGGTTACTTACAGTGTGGCCTGTACAATTTCCGGAGGCGGCTGAAGTGCTTCAGGTGTGGAGCAGCCAAAACTGGTAAGTAGTTAAATCAGTAAGAGGCCATCCACTGCAGACAGTCTGGACAGTTTGGATCAAAAGTGCAGGGATGCAGCACAACGTTGGTGTTAATGTAGCTGTAGAGACTGAGGGTGATTTGGACATTAAACATGTTCTTGCTCAGTGAGATGGGCGCAAACGGCTTGCATGAGAAGTGACATTCATAGTCTTACGGTTTCTCTAAATCCTGAAATACAGTGAAGGTACATCTTTTCTTTGATTTTCTCCACAGAAGGTGAAACAAGCAATAATGCTGGGGTCTCTGAAACGCAGCCTAATGTAGACTTTTATGGTGACAGTAAGAATTTCTCTTTATTTATTTATTCTGTGTATGATTTAATGCAGGGGAAAAAATTTACCCGTAATAATTTTATTAATCGAAGCCTGTTTTCTCATTCAGCAATCATCTTGAGAAATATCGCCCCTCAGACCACAGTGGAAGCCATATTGTCAGTCCTGGCACCATATGCTAATTTGTCATCAAACAACATTCGTCTCATTAAGGACAAGCAAACAGGCCAAAACAGAGGTTTTGCTTTTGTGCAGCTGTCCTCCCCTCTGGTAAAGCATCATCAAATATACAGATGAATTTACAAAAAGAAAAAAAACATCACAATTCGTTGTTGTAAACACATAATTTTGATATAGTTTTGTTGTTGCTGCAGGAGGCTTCTCAGTTGCTAACCATCTTACAAGGATTGCAGCCTCCCTTGAAACTAGATGGGAAAACCATTGGGGTGGATTATGCTAAGAGTGCTAGAAAGTGAGTATTATTTGTGTATCCTTTTTTTATTTTCATCACTGTCTTTATAAACGACTGTTCTGATAAATGTTTACTTGCATTAGGGACCTCTTGCTACCTGATGGAAATCGTGTTAGCGCCTTTTCCGTAGCCAGCACAGCCATTGCTGCAGCCCAGTGGTCGTCAGCTCAGGTCTGCCTGTTCTCTGTTAACATCTGTTTAGTATCCGAGAGCCATTGTTGCATGATCATGTCTTTTTTTTTTCTTTTTTTTTTTACACCCAACAGCCCCAGCAGAGCTCGGATGGAATGTCAGAGTATGCCTACCTCCAAGAAGGCTACACTCAACTCTCACAGGTTCGAAAAACAAGGCAAACATTTGACCATTTACTATCAATAGATATATTCCTGCCTGTTAGTTTTACAAAATGCCTTAAACAAAATACAACTTCTAGTAACTTGGAATGACAGCTAAAGAAAATTATAACAAAAGACTGAATGATGCTTTACCAGAGATATAAAGTATTATTACTGTGGAAGGGTACACCTAAACTGTTGTGATAAATGCTTTACAGGATTACCAGACATACTACCAAGGAGCTGGAGCCAACACTTCCCAGGGAAATGGACTCCTTGGAGGTAAGTAATACTCTTAATGTCTTTCAGACGTGTTGGCAGGAGACTGATCAACTATCGTACAATGGCAACATGAGAACAGTAGCTGAATAGTTTATATTTTTTGCAAGCAATGGGGAACAACTAAGGCTACATTCAAAATGATTAGTAGAGTACTTTAACSTGTATGAATTTTTCAAAGATCTAGTGCATTTTACATTTCTTTAAACCTACATCCTGACTGACCGGTTATCTCAGAACTTCACCTGTGTGACCCTTTGATTAAATAAAACATTAGTATGATTTACATGAAGGCTGTAGTGACTTAAAATTAAATAATGACAAGAACTATTTATTTTTTTATTTTATTTTAGCTGCCCCAGGGTTGAAGATTGTTCCAGCTGCAGTTGGAGTTGTAATTTCACAGAATGCACAGGTTTACCAACCTCATATAATTGCTCAGCCTGCTGTGCAGGTAATGTTCTACTGTTGTTGATGCTGCACTAAACTATAATGCAGATGTTGAAATAACAATTTCTTAATTAACCACAACACTAATTATAGGCATTGCTACTTGCCCAACAGCTGGAGGCAAAACCCCAGACGGGTCATCTTCCAGCTGCTGAAGCTGTGTCTGTGCCAGCTGTTGCTGTCGCTGCTGCGCCTGTTAGTGCAGCTGCTACGTTATCAAACTCTGGACAGACGGGGGACACCAGCACAGGTACAATCAATAACAGTGCTTTAAAACATGTTCTGCTGAATGATAAAAACTTATAAATAAGAGACTTGAGAATGTAGTTGATTTTGAACATATCTTCATGATCCACAGCTGTTCCTGATACTTCCACCTACCAATATGATGAGTCTTCTGGCTATTACTACGACCCTCAATCTGGTCTCTACTATGACCCAAATTCACATGTAGGTCACTCACTAACAGTGTGTGTGAGTCACTTTAGTTTTTGTTATGATGCTGAGACTTTAGATGGGTTTTAATATGTGCATTGCTGTTTTTCTTTCTAGTATTATTATAATTCTCAGACCCAGCAGTATCTGTACTGGGACGACGAGAAGCAGACATACGTACCTGCCCCTGCCAACACAGATGTTGGGCAAAATGATAAATCAACAAATGGCTCAGCAGCAGGCAACAAGGAGCCTAAAGAAGGCAAAGAGAAAAAAGAGAAGCCCAAAAGCAAGACCGCACAACAGGTACTGCTATAAATCTGACATTCACATGTTGTGTACTTGGCCTGTAACGGCTTCTTCAAATGTTTTGTTTGTGAATTATAATTTAATGTTTAAATGAATCTTTTAGATCGCTAAAGACATGGAGCGATGGGCTAAAAGTCTCAACAAACAGAAAGAGAACTTCAAGAGTAGCTTTCAGCCTATTAGCCAAGAAGAGAAGAAAGAGGCAGCAGCTGCTGATGCTGGATACACGCTGTTTGAAAAGAAGGTATCTGATCTAAAAGATGTGGCACATTTTGTACTATAAATGTTTTTGTTTATTTTAATGCTAATTTTCATTTATGTATTTAGCAGGCAGGTCTAGACAGACTCGTACAGGAAGCATCGAGGAGTGCTGAAGAAGAAGCACCYATGAGCTCAGTCTCAACTTCAAAGGTGAGTTTTTTTCTGTTTCTATTGTTTCTCTGACAAGATTATGTAAAACACAATTTATCTTGATTTTAAACAAGAATATTTAAATGATATAATTTTTTATTTTTATTATTATTATTTTTTTTAATACAGGGTCAATATACAGTATGCATTAACCTTAGAAGGAAAGATGCACTGTATCAGGTTATAGCTCTGGGTGCTAGTTTCCACCTGTAGTCCCTGACCCAGCCCACACAATATAAAAGAAAAAGAAAAAAAWAATAATAATAAATTTAAAACAAAATAATAAATAAATATGAAAAGGCATTATAAATATACAATACAAAGGCATACAATCATAGTCAATATAAAATCAATTCATAATATCCATGCTCCCAAAAAGATGTCATCATAGACCCCACTTATTAAAACACACGTTAAAAAAGACTGACCACTGAATAAAAAATCATTTCAGGCAATTAAACATACCTACAATATCCAAAGCATAATCACTCTTCAACAAGTCATCACCTGCATACTGTCAAATAAAAAAATCCACTCACATCAGTGTACATTATGAGAGTAGGTTTGATTTAATAGAAGCCATTGTTTAGTCATGCATGAAAATCTATGAAAGTCTTTACATATCAATACTGTTGGCAAAATATTCCACTGTTGTATAGCAACACTTGAAAAAGCTGATTTACCAAAATAAGTTTTACATTTAGGAACTCTACACTCATCACGAATAGTTGAACGGGTCACTCTACATGTTTATCCAGAGCTAAAGGGTGCAATTTTTTTCAAGGGAGGTGCAATTGAATTGTGTATTTGATTAAGTTCTCAAAACYAAGAACGCTATACTTGGCAAGAATATGGCAATGATGAAACAACCGTGTTTTCTTGTCATGGATCTTGAGAGACCCTTTATTTAATGACTAATGTTGTTATTCATGTGTATTTGTGTTGCTTTAGTGTGTTCTTGTGGCAGCCTACAGTGGAGACAGTGACCCTGAAGAAGGAGCAGCAGAACTTGACAGTGCTGATGGAATCCAGGACCGGCTGACAGATTGGAAAAAGTTGGCTTGCCTGCTTTGTAGGAGGCAATTTCCAAATAAAGAGGGTTTGMTTAGACATCAGCAGCTGTCTGACCTCCACAAGGTATTCTATTTATTGTCCTCACGCTCAATTTTATCTAATTTAAACAGGCTTTTATTTGTTAGTGCGCTCATTTATTTTTTTTTTATCTTATTTCTCCTAGAAAAACCTGGAAGTAATGCGGAGATCTAAAATGAGTGAAGCAGAGCTGGAAGAACTGGAAAGAAAAGAGTCTGAGGTTCAGCTTAACATCAAACTGTTCTCCAATTGCATTATTTTCACATGACTAAATTCTAAAATCTGATGTTTGGTGTTTTGTTCATAGCTGAAATACAGGGACAGAGCAGCTGAGAGGAGAGAAAAATATGGGATCCCAGAACCTCCAGCACCTAAAAAGAAGAAATTCAACCAACCAGCACAAGTTGTGTAAGCAGCACTTCATCTTAATCTGTCTTAAGTTGTTGATTTTATGTTTTTAGGAATTATTTGACAGTTTTGTTTTTATGTGCAGTAACTATGAACAGCCCACTAAAGACGGCCTCAACAGTGATAATATTGGGAACAAAATGCTGCAGGCCATGGGTTGGAAGGAGGGGAAAGGTCTTGGTCGTAACCAGCAGGGCATCACTGCTCCTATCGAGGTAATTTGAACTGGTAATGTCCTGGGTTGTCTGTCTTTMATAGAAGTATTTAGTTTATTCAAACACCTGTTGGTTTCCTCCTCAGGCACAGTTGAGGACTAAAGGAGCTGGACTCGGTACTAAAGGCACCAACTACACCCTCTCCCCATCGGACACGTATAAAGATGCAGTTAGAAAAGCCATGTTTGCTCGTTTCACTGAACTGGAATGAGTCCTCCATTTCCAGACTAGACTGTTTGTTTTGATGAGTTGTCTTCTGGTTGAGATGCAACTTGTTTGCATCACCGAAAGAAAAAGAGAGACTTATCTTCGATATTTTTTGTCCATGTATGATTCATGAAGGTCTGTTCTGTAAATTTAATTTATAAATTGTACATATGCATAATAGGTTATCTTTCCTTAGTTTTGTTTTTTCATTTATATGAGATCAAGTTTTGTTTCAGCATGTGAAGGTTGTACAGTTTATACAAAAATTGTGTAATTGTAAAGAAAATAAAAAATGAGACATGGTTTGTAACAGTCTTCATTGTGTTTGATCACAGTTATTTTCCTTAGGAAAAAATGCTATAGGTCCCTAAATTTAACAGCTAATGTGAACATTAATAAACAGACGTTGCATTCACAACAAATTCTAAAAGTTTTTCCTATGACGTGTAGCTTAAGATTTATTAGTTGTGTTAAGTAATTTAAGAAATACATTTTGGTGAGGAAAAAATACTTTGTTATGGTTTCAAATGCTGCAGGCCATGGGTTGGAAGGAGGGGAAAGGTCTTGGTCGTAACCAGTAGGTCATCACTGCTCCTATCGAGGTAATTTGAACTGAYAATGTCCGTTTTTTTACATGGATGTGTGTACATTTGTATACACTTTCTTTTTATTTTGGCTTGTTTTACTGTACCAAAATGTTGTTTGTTGTAGGTTTCAAGGGGCTTTGGTTCAAATAATACAAATAAAGTCTTGGCACAAATAAAATGCCAAGTATGTCAAATATAAAACACCAACATGACCCCATTGAACTAGTAAGGGTGGGAAAAAACTTGCATGTCTTTGTTTTATTTAAACCACAGAGCAATAGGTCTTGATATTCCTGGGAAACTATAGTCTGTGATTCTTTTTTCTACAAAACTTACCAGTATTCATCCATTTTCTCTTCCCCACTTTTTAGAGTTACAGGGAGCTGGTTTCTCCAGCAGTCTATTCAGGGTACTGGACAGCTCACCAGTCCATCACAGGGACAAATGGACAGGTCTCCAGTCCATCACAGGGACACCTGGACAGATCTTCAGTCCATCACAGGGACAAATGGACAGGTCTCCAGTCCATCACAGGGACACCTGGACAGATCTTCAGTCCATCACAGGGACAAATGGAGTCTTACAAGTTTTAATTATTTATTAAGAAATTATATTTGCAGCTGTTTCAGTTCTGCTTTTAGTCTAATTGAAAAGCTGCTATTGTTTAATATTTGTAGTAACTAAAGATGTYAAAATATTAGACAATAACTATATTGTGCAGTTAAATGGCTTATAAGATGTCTTTTATTATTTTGAATTGACATCTCCATCTGCAGAATCTAGTTTTTCACACAAAGAGAAATAGTTTTTTTGCCTCCCTGCTGATCATCCCTACATAAAACAATATGGTGCATGTGCAAAACGAAACATGATCCATCGCCTCCTTGTTTTCATTAACCTCGTGTTGCCCCCTTTTTACTCTTATATGTCTTCACTTCTCAGGGAGAAATGTTTACTTGCACCTCTGCAACATAAATAAAATATAGCAGGCCGATGTAAGGGTAGAGCTTGTTTGAATATCTTTTGGTTTTGAAAAGCTCTGCATGTTATTCCTGCAGCGTCTACACATGATCTAACCAGCAGGACAAATGAATGGACATCTAAAATCAGCAGCATGCTGTTGTTTTTACTTTATTTYAGCCTCTTGAGGTTTACCAATGCGTTTAGTCAAAGATGTACCATAGTATTTTTTTCCTCCTAAAAATCAGCTATCTTTAACAATCCATGGTGTTCGAGTAAAAACACTTTTTTAGAATCAGAGGTAGATACCTGGAATTTGCAGGGGAGTGTGGTAAATGGAGTTGTTTTTAAGATGAAGACATGAAAAGTGGTAAATTTTGTAAGCCTGTGTTTTTGGTTCCTCTGCTCTTCTTTATATCTTTTGTAAAAAAACAAAAACACAAAAGACAAATACAAGTAGTAATTTATTTTGCATACCTTTAGTCTCCTTTCAGCACTTGTTGTCATGTGAATTACATAAATGTGTTTGAACTCTGAAACAAACAATGCAAAATTGTAAAAAAGAAAATATTAATAATTGTGGCATTTCTGTTCATCCATTCCTGTAATAATTCATCACATAACCATGTTTAAACATCCAACCAAAGCATCAACAAAACTGGCCTCAGAGGAATATGAGCGTGGGTTAAAAAAAAGGGGGATGTGAAAGATGAAATTATTTCAGTATAGCATCTTTATTATTAAGGTGTGGGAAAACAAGACTGGCTTTTTTTTCTTCTCAGTCTCTAAAAATAAGAACAAAGAAATAATAAAAGAACAGTTTTAGTGTTTTTAACTGGGCAGAGAGGAGAGAAGATGCTCCGCTCAGGTCATGGATCCAGTTTATGGATGCTCATGCTTTTGTTTGAACGACACTTTGCTTTTAGTCTACGAGCAGATTTTCTTGTTTTCGGTGATTGTTTTAAATAGAACCATCATTTACCCTTGTAGTACCAAAATGTTTTCCTGTATTGATCGTGTCACTGATAAAGCAGAGTGTATTTATTTTTGAGCAGCTTATGAATTAGTTTAAAGCGGGGCATCTTTTCCTCTGTCTGTCTGTCTGTCTGWCTGTTTACCTGTCTGTCTGTCAGATTAGAAGAATCCTCAGTCTGTTTGTTTAGAGGTGGAGCTTCAGGTCTATTTAGGACCTCCTCTGAACCCACTGACCCGTCTGATGGGGGGGTTTTCATGTTTAAACGACAAACTGCTGAACTTGTTCATTAGGCCTCGGGGGGCCTCTAAGGACTGCATTCATATTAATGATGTCAAAGATTATTTAATTTTCTGCTCAAGTTCTTCATGGTGGCTCTGTTCTGGACAAATGAAGCAACAGCGACATCAAACTTTACGCAGTTAAGCTGTAGACTTGTAGTTTCAGAGTGTGGTAGTGAGGCAAGCATTTGATTGTGCTGCTAAAATTATTTTTAAAGGTATTTCTTAACGGTGTCAAGAAATAGAGTGTTTCTTAACTGAAATGCTCTGATTTTGTTGTGGTAACGGGGATTTTCCACAAGTTCAGGTTCGACCCCACTTGATCAAACCACACCAGCAGTATACACAATCTATGTTCACAGAACACTGCAGTTTTCTGAGAAAAACAAAAAAAAGTTGGAACATAGCTGACCTCGTGACCTTTGTTCAGTCAGGGCTGATCATTTCACAAAAGCTGGCAAATCAAAGTGTGGGGTAGGCAACACACTGAAGCTTTTGGAGAGGAAATCATTGTTTTGACAGGAGCCTTGACTGGATGCTGCTTGTAGTGCACAAAAGGGGGGAAAAAGTGCGCGCAAATTTGGCACAAGTGCGTCTTTTCGCATCTAGCCTACGCAAAAAAAAAAAAAAAAAAAAAAAAAAAAAAAAGGTGCCAATAAAATGTTGCCATGAGCTATTTAGCACGAATTTCCTTTTGGATTCATGTGCGCCAAAGACTGCGCGCATGTCCCTGTGTGCTGTGGAAACCTGACCTCTCCGAGAGTACACCAGGCAGCTGAGGAGAGGAGGAGGTGGGGTGGTGAGGGTGCAGCTCGGTGCTCATGGAGGCGGACCTAATGCGACCCCCACAGTTTAGCTGAAGATGTGTTTTTTTTTTTTTTTTTTTTTTACGATGCCATTTCCCAAAGCACATTGTGGTCAGCCACCCGGGGGACGTCGGTGTGCGTAAAAAGCCGCGCAAGAAGTGCGTAAATCAGGAAGAAACCGAGGGTTTAACAGGGAAAGGAGACGGTGCTGCGCTTCTAATTCTCCCCAACACCAGAGCGGGATCAGACTGSAAACCTTTTGTGAGGAAATACTTTGGTAAGACTCAATGCAGCTGATTTTTATCTTTTGTTTCACCCTAAAGGGGGAAAAAATGAACACATTTCAAACACAGAGAGGGAGACTTTTACCTAAGGGAAGTTGAAAACAAATGTTAAAGCTTCCTGATCAAATGACCACGGGAGCATATGGCTTCCTAATAATCAAACAACGAGATATGATGAATAAAGAAAGAAGAGCTCGGTCCTCCCGCAGTGCCAGCAGCACCATGTGCCTCTGAGCCCTGAGTGACAGACTGCTGCTGCTGCTCCGGACTCCATCTTTTGTTCGCGCGACTCGGCGCGAGTAAAACTTGCCGCACGAGGACCGAATCCCGACTGGATGGTCGTGACAAACGCGTATCAGCTGATAAATCTAAAGTAAAGGTAAATGTTTGGGTTTTCGCCGCTTGATCTCTGCGCTTTTTTAATGGAACGTCCACGTTTTTACGCAGTACCTTTCAGGTCGGTCAACTTATAACCTATAGGCTACACGTTTCTAAGTTTTCCCCAGTTTGCTCCCGTTTAACCTGTTCTGGACTGGGAACATAGAAATCCCTGATAAGTCAATGAGGTTTGCGTTTCTGCACAAGAAAAATACAAAAACACGTGGCGCGACCAACAGAGGGCGTTTAAAGTCCTTTTGTTTCTGTTATTGAGCATGTGGAGGAAGTTCATTTTCATCTTTTCTGTTATTGTTGTCTTCCTGGTTATAAAAGGCTTTGGATTACAGAAGAGAGAACAGTTCACTCTTTTTCTTCCCAAAGGATTTGTCAGTGACAGTTTCAGGAAATGTAATGTGTGTAAAGTTTCAGTGACTTTTTAATATGGTAGTTGTTTTATGTTCCTTGAGAAAATGAGATTACCAATCTAACCACTGTAGCTGCATCTTGAGATCTGATCCTCAACACAACCTTTTATTWGCTTTTTCCTGTTGTGTGAAGCTTTAACTGCAAATATTAAATTCCTCTCTGCTGTACACTCTAAAAATGAAATGTTGGATTTACTTAACCATGTTATGTTACGTGGTTCYACTTAACTGAGTTGAGTAAATTCAAAGCAACATACTCATGTTCTTTGGTTAAAAAACTGGTATATTGCTTTGAATTTACTCAACTCAGTTAAGTGGAACCAGGTAACATGGTTAAGTAAATCGAACATTTCATTTTTTACAGTGTAATCAAGCATTRTCGTAAAATGATTTGAGGTGTTTTGTTTGAATGTGATGATTTGCCACATGAAGCCTCTCTTAAAATAGATCCAATGTGATAAACAGATGTTAATCTTTTGTTAATATGTTAACACCATGAAGACGATAGTGTTTGCCAGTAATGTTAGCAAAAATATTTTACAAAGCAAAGAACAGATTTTATTGTAGCTTTCACATAGTAATTATTAGATATTGAGCTTAAATATGGTGTGCCAGCTTATCAGGAGCTGAACTGCTCAGGACTCTTATTTCCCCTCATCAAAAGCTGAGTTTAAAACTCTGGCACAGAAGGCAGCAGGTGGTATGCATTTCTTTATGAAATGTTAGCATTTCATATTTCAGGAAAATGGGTTAGTATAAATGACAGATATGATTTTGATTTGAACTCAATTAAATTCAGTTCAAAACTTGTAAAACTGAACTTAATTTAGAAATCAGCCCTGCTTTCTTGTTCGCTTTTATATATCAGCATTTTCCACCTGCTCATGTTACAATGATTTACTGTCCTTGGAAACCGTTGTTGCAGTTAATTATAATTGTAATAACATGAGCAGTTTCACAATTTAAAGGTCTCATAGTTGATTCTAAATAATTAAAAGTAGTTTATCTTCCTTGTTTAAATGTTTAGGTAACCTAAAGTCCCTGGTTTACAAATCTGAATATTTCTCTCCTACAACTGTTGACTTGACAGGAAATGAGGCACTTAACTCCCACCTGCTCAGTGGATCTGAGGTGACGTGGGACAGGGTGAGGTGTTTTTGACATCGGTTCCCATTGAAACCCCTTTATAAGGACTTCCATGTCGGGTTCATCAGAAGGGAGCGTGAACAGATAAGCTCCTGTGCAGTCGGTGACCTCGGCGCACGCAGCGATCACAGCGGCAGAGGGAGGTTTTAGGGGGAGGCCGACAGGTGCGCGCTGCGTGGATGTGGGTGTTTTTATCCGAGCTGGACTCAGGCGGCTGTGGAGAGATCTGTGAATATCTGTGTCTGAGTCAGTCCAGGTTTTAAGTGTCAGGCACTCCAGAGTTTATTCTTGTCTTTGTCATGGGGCTCGTAATCTACGTGGGTTAAACTTGACTCCATCATGTACTGTTTTCTGTTTACACTGGAGTCCTTAAAAAGCTGTTTTCTGTGTTCAGAAAACATACAAGTTTTCTTATTTGTTGGCTTTTATATTGAATTTTACTGCAAATATCCACATGTTTTTGTAATTTAAGAGAAAACAAATTATCCTACATTACCTAATGTACACATTTTGGTCCCAAAAACATGTATGGAAATCAACAAAAAAGCGCCARTTTGAAGTTCTTAACTCTTCTGGCAGATTTTTGTTAGTTTTATTCACAATCAGAAGTCTTGTAGCGTTATTTTTCATAAATTTTACCGTGAAGAAGACGAGGACGACAAATAAAATAGCACACAGGTGGCAAACATGCAGCTGAAAACATCAMGACCACAACCCAGAAAGAATGTTCCAAAAAAAAGCTATTTATTAAGCCTTGTGGTTTTGTTTTTATTTACTTTTTCTTTTTTTTTTTAGCATTACACACATTTAGCTTTTCTCGTCTGAGTTCTGGTGAAAAATTAACAAGTTTTGATCCTTCAGATTTCAGATATAAACCATGTTCAAAAACAATATTGTGGGATGAATTGAAACAATGCATCATGTCTAAAAGCAAAATTACATCTAAATCCTTAAAAACAAAACCTGGCCCCTCATCCCAGAGTTCTAAAATGGACGTGGAGGATTTTTGCTGAGTACCTCCTGCTGCTTTCTACTTAGGTTTTTTCTGAGGAAACATCCTGCCACACCTCATCAAGTACTTATATTTAATTAGAGTTAACTGACCTCTTATGTAAAGCTTTACTTTATAGTGAACACAAATTGAATTATAAACACTCAGAAACGTAACACGTCCTTTATTTATTATTATTATTATTATTATTTATTGTTTGATTTATTATTTTATAGAAAAAATAAAACAAAACTTTCACAATAATTTTTTAACTCCAGCTGCAGATTTATCCGTATACCCACAGCTCTATTGTTTTAGGTTACAACGAACTCATAGTAAACACTCATTTTGACTAACCCTTTTACTGCGTAAGGCATTAGATGAAATACTTTAAATGTGTCAGAAAAGGTTACAGCTAAATTGCAGATTGTAAATTTAGTGTCTAAAAGCATCTTCAGAAAGCAGGCTGTCTTTACAATATGATTTTCTGTATTATTATTTGATCCATTAATTATGTTATTAGGACACAGAAAATAAAGCCCTCAGCCCTTTGGTGCAAAACTATCAAAATCACTAGGAAAGAAAGAGACTTGTTCCTCGTTGTTGATCCTTTGAGGTGTTTTCTGTCTTTTTTTTTTTTTTTCAGGAAATTAAGTGAGATCATGTTGATTCGTACCTGCCACTATAGGGTCCACATTAAATCTGGGACTCTTCAGGCTGTGTTGAAGCCGCTTTTCAAATGATTGATTATTTGACAGCTGAGCTTATTACTCTAAACKAAATCTTTGTGTAAAACAGAGTGTGCTGGCTGCTTGAAAAACATACATTAAATYATGTCTCGTGTCATGGCTTCCTGGGCTCATTTAAGAATTCCAAGTCTTTTGGGGGTTTTTTGTTCCGTGTTTCTGAAGAATACGTTGTTGTTTTGAAAAGAAATCCTATTCAGATGTTATATTTTAAAGAGATATCCATCATACAGCAGACATATCTTAGAGAAGTTGACTGAAATTTGAGGTAATTACTGATGAACCTATAATTGCAATTATGTGGTTGAATGTATTTTAAAATGTGGATGCTCCTTAATTGACTGGGATTTGATATCGGAGGGGAATCAACAGTGAATTGACCAAATTTATGACCAAAGCATTAGAAAATATGACTAAAAATGTGCTGCCTAGTTTACTTGCTGTGTACAATTAGGAGAAATAAGCCAGACTTTTGGCCCGCAGTAGAGCATGATGCAGGTGCAGGWTGATAACACAGTCATGTGTCCGGCTGTCCTCAGCAGACACGTGTCTTCTGATGAACTGGTGCCACCAGGCACTGAAACCTCCAGCATTCCCTCGTCTGCATGTGACTTAGCCCCTCGCTGCCCCTCTGCCTGGGTTTCTGACAGACCAACGCAAGGAAAAAAAAAAAAACTACTGAAATTTTGATGCAAGGAGGAAATCAAATTAAGTAGAAAGCAAAGTTGGGCGCACAAATCTACGCAGTTGTTTTTGCAGAACTAAGGTTGGACCTGGTAGTGAAGTTCTTATAAATAAGATTTTATTGCCATTAGCAGGTTTTTAGGATGTTGTCATTCAGATGAGGCCACAACTACTTTTCTCTATTTCTATTTTTGTTTTATTTTATTTTTTGGTTTAATGTCATTGAGACATTCACAAGTTCTTTCTTCCTTCACGACTCTCACATCCCATCATGGGTGCCAGCTTGTGAACTGTGTGCCTGTAAAAACTCAAGTTGTTCCTCTTTGAATGATGAAGCATAGACACGATTTATTACAAAAACCATCAAAGTGTAGAAAGTGGTTGATCTTCTCCCCATAATAAAGCAGTTGTTTTATATGAAAGCAGTTGGCCTGTTCGTCACATGTATTTAAAGGTGTATTTTTACGTGTTGTAAATATTTTGTGCTGCACCTTACAAGTGGGGAAAAAAACAGAATCGTCTGCCATATTTACTGTAAATTCACTGATCCCATGTTTTATTGTTATTTATGAACAACAAAACAATAATTTAGTGTCACCCTGGCATAGGTGACACAACATTCACTTGGTTGTTTTTTTTCCCCTTTTGTTGACAGTTTTAACCTTAAACACCAAGCAACTAACAATAAATGTCTTACCTGTCGAGGATAGCTCTTTGAACCTCAGTTTTGCTGTGGCAAATGTCTTTAAGACAAAACTTTCTATTCTAATTTTAAAATTGATGCTTTCCTCAGCGCCTGATCATTGTATCCATGATGGTGCGGCGTAGCGACAGCTGCAACGTGTTGCTGAATGAACATGAATAACAGAGACTGTGATTTTGGCTGAGAGAACAATGAGAACTTGCTCTCAGAGGAAGCTGCTGACAAAACACCATTGTCCGTCTTGAGTTCATACTGTGAAAACGTAAAAATAATATTCACCATCATTGAGATGGTGACTTTGGCAAATCCATTAATATTGAATTGATAGCTAAATGACAGGTAATGCTTACATTTTATGGAATAATCTTTCATTTTGTTTTAGTAATTTTAATTACGGTCACTTTTTATTCATTGCAGTTTTCTTCTTTCCTTTTCCTAAAATTCCATTTTTATACTTTATTTCTTAAAGCCTCTATTTGTTTTTACTTTTTTAGAATAAACATGATTACAAGGAGCTCACAAGGAATAGTACATAAATACAGCATTAGAGTAATTACTGTTTTTAGACATGTCATCAAAGACTTGGACTTGTTTCTAATCTCTTTATGTTTTAGTAATAATAAACACCACAGAGTCATTGTGTGGATTATCGCACTGAGAATCTACAATTTTACATCAGGAAAGAACAAACAGACCTAAAAAAACCACTCAAACAGACTTTAACCTTTGGGTAGTCTTGACTTGTTTGCCTTCCTCAATGCTGAAACATGAGACCACCATATTTCCTGGCATATTATCTCAACACGCGATTCGTTCAGAGAACTAAATGAGCGGAGGAGGTCAGGTCTTTTCTGTTGGAAGTCACTGTGTCAAACGTAGAATTGGGTCATTGCTGCTTGTTCTCTGCGCACGCAGATACTGAGAAAAAGGAATTTCAGAAGTTTGGCAATGATTGCCCAAGTTGTTGCTGAAATATCAGAATGAGCAGGAAAAAAAAATCGGATCCAAATCTGATGTTTTTTTGTTTTGTTGGTTCAGCTCTTTGGAACTTTCTGACCTGAGATCTGTCACTGCTGTTTATTTTTAATCAAAACTAAACTAAAATCAGTACAGGTATTGTCAATTTACCACAAACTTTCTAACTGTAACTTTGTAATTTTGATGGTATTTTGGATTTTCATGAAGTGTATTTTTTCCAATAATATTTCTAATTTCATCTCTGTTTTTATATATTTTTTTCCTATGTGCTGCCTCTGCTGCACATTTTTCACACCCTCGTTTTTCAGTGAGAGTTTTTTGATTTAATAAACCCTGTTTCACCTTTAGCTTTAGATTCATCAAACATCACATCGAACACATCCAGGCCGAAGGGAAGCTTGAGTGATGGAGCCGTCCCAGTCCGAGATGAACATATTATCTAATGGGAAAAGTCATGAYCTTGAAGATGAAATGGGTGTGCCAATGAAGACGTTGTTAGCAGATGATCAGTGAGTAGTCTTCCTCTTCATCCATCTTTTTTATAATGCAGCATGCTGCTTTTTACTCTATTCTTTTTGTCTTATTATAGTTATGTAAAACCACATCCTCGGCAAGAAAACAAGCAAAAATTTAAACAGACTTCTTTCTTTATGGTTCTTACTAAATAGGACGTGGTTAGAAACATAATGCATGACCTTTTAATGGAAAACGGATATTTCGGTAAATGCAGTTTGTCTTGTTTTTGTGCTCACCTCACCTGATGGATCCTTTAAAGGAATGGCACTGAAACATTCAGGTATGTTTACTGAGAGCTGAATGAAGAGGTTTTAAGCACACAAATAACTGCTGTCAGACATGTGCACACTTTAAATGGTTGATAAAAAATAATTCATAGTCAAACTTGTTTTGTCCCTAGATATGATGACCTGGAAGGAGGACTGGAAAGTGAGGAGTTTTTGCCCAGTGCAAATGGAAAGAAACCGATACGTTTCACTGATGTAAGTGAACAAGTCTACAAATGAATACATCTTGCTGTATTTGTATTTGTTTGAGAACATGCAGTAAATTCAGATGTCAGAAGTTACACTCATGTTGCTTGGTTCTCCATGCAGTTTCAATTTCAAATTTTGCTGCAATCACTGTGCCTCATTTGTGGGAAATCAAACATCTTTAACTATTGAACCATTGCTTTACTATTAATTGTAAACTATTACTAGAAGTTGTATGTTTCAGCTAACTTCAGAAATGAATGAGGTAACAATTAAGCACAAATGCTTCAGGATAACAATTCTGTTTTGTTTCATCAAATTAATTCACAGTTTGAAGGAAAGACTTCATTCGGCATGTCAGTCTTTAACCTGGGCAATGCTATTATGGGCAGTGGGATCCTTGGATTGGCTTATGCCATGGCCAATACTGGCATCCTTCTCTTCTTGTGAGTACATCATTTCATGCTGCATATAAAGCTTTCACACAAGACGAACATTAGAATTAGATAAAGATGCTGGTAACAGCATAACTGCAGTTTTGTAGGCTTTCTGCTTTTTGATGAACTTGTTAACATCCCTCAATGTGGGGATGAGGGTGTAAAAAAGGGGGTTTGAAAAACAGGATGAGAATCTGTTGAAATGAGCAAGCTGGAGGTGTTGGGGGGGGCGGGGTGAACAGAGTGGTGGGGGATGGTTTTCTTCTTAAAGCGGTCGTGGGGTGGGCTTTGGGTGTGTAACTTGTGATCTGTCTGAGGCTTTTCCATACAGATGCAAAGTCATTAGCCAAGAACTGCTGTTGGAGTTTCTTAGCATACGATCGTTTAGCATTTCTCACCRCCTCGCTAAACCTGCTCATTGCTTCTTGATGTCCTTTTCCCTGTTCCTCCTGAGCCATTCCACCGAATCAGTGCCATTTCCGTCCCCAGGAAATTACACGTATAAATGTGCACAAAAAAATAACTGTAAAATGAATTTTATTATTTAGCATAATATCTTGTTGATTGACCAAATTGAAAATTGAAGATATATAATTAAAAACATTAATAAAAACTACTAAGAACACTGAAAATTTAGTCAATGGTACCTGTCCCCACTCTTTAACTATCCACTTTACCTTGAAATGTAATAATTAAAATCCTTCAGAGATGTGTTTTTTTAAAGATTTTTGTGTGACTCCAAATCCCACCTATGCTTTAAAAATGTAGTTTTCAAAATAAATCTAAAATATTTCAATCACAATAAACAAACACAATATGTTATACACAACACAATCATTAACACAATCACAATCATTTAAAAAATCGGATTGTATCGGGAGCCAAAAAACCTGGACCGGGACATCCCTAATCTGTGCATGTAATGGACCAGTACAGGGGAAGAATTTCCAACTTTGCAAATTTCTAGTTTATTTCAGTTAATTTCCATGGAAAGTTTTCAAATTTGAATTTTGCAACCTTGGGCAATGACTAAATATTAAAATGTATTTAGAAAGTAGATGATAGGAATGAACATGAGCACGTGAAGACATTCCTTGGTAACTTTTGAAGATGTTTGGGGTATCATACCACCCCTGAGACCAATCACAAAGTTTGTTCTTGTTCTTCACACCTTGAGAAAATACACAGTTCAAACCTCAAACCTCACTCTCGAGG